TTTCACTAGTGTAATTCTCAGTTACTGTAGATGACGAATCTTAAGAACTAGTTAGCGAATAATCGCTGAAGTTTGTGTGACAAGAAACAATAAGATCGAAGGGTAACAAACCCTTTATTATTTCAATAAGATTTAACAAAACTCCGTCTTGGAGTGCACATCAAAGCCGACACTTGGGCTTAAACTTAAGAGACTAAGAATTAAACTAAAACTAAGATTAACTAAAGAAATAAAACCGAAGCTATCAAGTTCAAATCGAGTCGGCCCCTTAACTTTATTTTTGACTACGAAGCTTGTCAAGGGGTTGAGTACGGCCGAGCGCAATAACAGCTTTGAGAGAGAGAGTGGCCAAAAGGCAGACGCGCGTAAATCAGAAACTCAGCTTCTCTCTCGCTAAGACCAAAGAACTTCGCGGTTAAATACCGCTCTTCCTCATTTTGTATTTAGACGTGATTCTAAAACTACGTTCTAGCCGGAAGTAGTAAGTTAAGAATTTGATAGGAAAGGAACTTAAAATTTAACTGTTAATAAAATTAACATAATCCTTACACCATATTTATAAGTGATTTAATTAAAGGTTAAAAAAGTAATCCTTGGTTTTTTTTTTCGTAATAGCACTTGCAATGTGACTTCATTAAATAACTATGAAAAACTGCTTCAGTAATTTAATCGCGTTTTTCAGCTAATCGGCGTAAAATTAAATAAAGTGAAATAAAATAAATGAATGCATTAAGATTTTGAGCTGCTCAGTTGCATGTTTTTATAGGTATTATAACTTATTCAATACCAGACCTAAATCTTCAATGTTTTGCTTCAAATGTTTGTAAACAAATGCTCTTATTTCAGTACATTGCACTAGATTTAAGACGTGTGCGCTTGTACTAAAATCATCTTAATCACCTGCAACTGAAGAAATCCAGAATTGCGCTATAGGATTTAACTCTATGCCGAGCGATTCCCAACCGGTGGTACGCAAAGAAATAAAGTATTTTTAACTATTAAATTAAAAAATCTCGTGAAGAGAAAGAAAAATTGATAGATATTTTCTTGTGATTGAAACCTAACCGAAGATTTAAAAAATAACATACTTGTTAACTTTCGGCTGACCCCCCCCCCCCGAAAAAGGAATTTAAAGGCGTTTCAAATAAAGCTATTAAATTTTTATTGCCTTTTTACAGAATCTATTTATGTGAACAAGGATTTCCTTCCACGTTTTATTTGAAAAATAAATACTGAACAAAATTAAAAATGGATCTTAAGCTACGGTTAGAGTTAAGTGAAATAAGACCAGACATTAAGAAACTAATCTCTCTTAAACAGGCCCAATTTTCCCACTAAATTTTAGAATTAAAGTATTATAACTTAAATTTTGATCATTAAAATGGTAACTAATTTTTTATCTAATATTTTTACTGTGTACATATTTAATGCAAATAGCCAATAGGTTGTGTAAATAGCAAAATATATGTTTTTTAATATTTCTATTGAGAAATCGAAAAATAATCGTTGTAAAATGTAGTGGTGTTACTAAAGTTCTTCGTTTTTTGTTTAGATGATACGCGTTAATCAAAAGGTTGAGAACCGCTGCTGTATACTTTTATATTGCGAACCTCTAGCTGATTTTTGATTCGCCGGAGAATCACCACGGTTATTTTACTGTCTCGTCGCTGAAAAGGTTGTGCAGGACATAGACCAATCCGCAAGCATAGGAAAAGGCAGTAAAGTAACTAGACTTTTTTCATGAATAAGATTCCTGGTGTGGTAGTGATTAAGTGTTATAACCACCGACGTTGCCATGTAGATATTTTTTATATTCAGCCAATATAAAAATGAAGATAGAATTTATCTTAGTAAACAATTTTTTGTTGAAATAGACTGAAACTGAATTAAAGCAGTGACGTAAGGAAAGCATAAATGCTTGCGATATCCTCTCTATCTCATCTAATACACATATTATAAAAATGAAAGTGGCAACGCCGGCGATGTTGACGTCATACGTTAGGTTAATCCATTGATCAAGAGTTGCCATGACGACCGTGACGCATGCGCCAGGAAAACATTAGGAGACAGCACTCATATTCATTTGTATACACACCAAGCCTATCCCCATGTGTAAGTATTGATTCGTATTATTTTCCATCTCTGTCATCTGATTATCGTTTAGTAATCGGTCCGTTATGCCAATTTTAACTTTTTTTTTTTACGCAGATTAATGGTCTTACAGAATACATTTGATTTGCTATTTTACCTGGTTAGTGGTGAAAAAACATACATAGCTAATGCTTCAATAATTTTGGAAATAAAGTATGGGTTATTTTTAAGTGCTTTTGCAATTGGAATGTTATACAAATGCTCACAAGCTTCTTCTTAGTTGTATCAATATTTAAATGTTTATGTGTTTGGGAAACTTAAGCAATTAGAATAGCAACATTATTACTTTAATGCTGTCTAAAAATAATAAATAATAAATAATGTCTACTCATAATAAATCATATTCGTTTTGATGCATATATATTTGTGAATATACATCATTGTTATGATTTTGTTTAGAGTTAAAAAAATTTTTTGAATATTTTGAATGCAAGAAAACTTTTAGAAATGTATTCAAATATATTCATCAAAAATATTTATAACAGCATAAAAAAAGATGTAGACTGTAGATTGTATGCATGGTTTTTATATTTTTATAGCGATTTGAAATAGAAAAAAATTAGTAAGTTTTGGTTTACATCTAGCAATTCAAATTAAATTTAGTTGAAGATCAATTTTTTGGGGGGGGCGGGGGGGGGGGGGGGGGGGGGATAAAATGCTGTCTGCTAGACTGATTATCTCTGTACTTAAGAATAAATTATGTTAAGGGGTAAATACTAATTAAATATAATATTGAAATAACAGTTATATCCATAAATATTCGGCATTATTACTTAACTGAAACAATTTTTAGTGTAATTATATGAACTTAATATATCTTACTACTAATATACGGAAATAATTTTTAGTGTAATTATATGAACACTTTTCTAGCTAAATTTAACGTTCTTTCTATTAATTTAATCTGAAAAAATAATAATTCATAAAATTAATTTGGTGATAATAGATAATTCACAAGGAATGCACTGCGCGTGACATTTTGTATAGCGAATAATTTCATAATCTAATTATTGGCCGAAATGTAAGAACTATTAGTCTGCACGCTCATTGAGAAGTTACTGCATTCATTTGATATGATAGAAAATGCAACTATCACATGCATTTAAGCATTCCTTTAAATTATGTTTATAATTCCTGCCTTTGTAATAATTTAGGAATAAATTTTGTAATAAAGTTTCTGCGTAATATATAACTATAGTTTAATTTTCTAATATAATTCAGTCAACTTTTTTTTTAACAAATATGTTTTTTTTTCCTTCTCATTACTGGTTATATTTCCCAGCAAGGCAACATCATCTATCAAAAGATTTAGTTTCAAATAATTTTAATTTTCAGAGGAGTCATGAGTGATGATATACTATATCACTTTATTTTAGTAATGCAGTAATGTTCTACAAGTGTACAGTGGAAGTTAACATAATACTTTTTTATGAGATTTAATATTCTGAGACAATTATCCATACTGACTGTACTAAATTCTATAGAATATGAAAATGGTTTTGAACAGGTGTTAAAAATCGGCTCTCAGGGAAGAGGCATATATAATGCACACATAAAATTTATGAATAATTTAACTAATTGGGGATGAAGTGCGCACGATATGTATGCTATGCAAGTTTTGTGGCTAAATTACTTCACGAAATCGCTATAAAGTAGTTTATAACACAAAATATGAAAAATATAGAGAAAGTGCAAATTAAAATTTTCTTAGATTCGAATTCTAGAAATTTCTGGAAGTTCTTGAATTTTTATAACCTCAAATCTTTTGAATGCTTCATATAAGAATAACAATGAGAACAAAAATTTTATTTAATGCTAGAAGTTTTTGAATTAAAAAAAATTGTAATTTGCTTTTGATAAAGAGTTTAAGAAACACAGTTTTTGAACCTGTACCTATGTTTATTAAGGTGAAACTAATTAAATAACCATAAAATTAACCATAAAACGTATACCATAAAAATGAATTCAACAGCAATATCACAAAATAATTTAAAAAGACCATATCTTTAGAATATCCGATGCGCAGTCTCGCGAGCTGGAGATAGAAATGTTTTCTTTTCTTTACAGTGTTGCCATTGCTTTCTTTAAAATCATTGAGTTTATTAATCAAAAATACGTTAAAGTTTTACAAAATATAAAAATTCCAAATTAGGGCTTCCAGATGCCTATATTTGGTTCGAAGGTTACGTTATTCAAATTTGATGGCTCTAGGTACCGTTGTTTTATCACAATGCGTGAAACATACATATATTCAATCATATTCTTCATTATTTAATTTCTTTAAATGTAATGCAGGGCTCTAACATTCGGTAGCAACAGTTTGCAAATTGATACGCAGTTTATAGTGATTCGACGCAAAATGCCAAAACGAAATTAATAGCCCTTTGGTCCTAAAAAAATAAAGTTTCAGATTCGATTGAGGGGAATAGCTCGAACATTCGAGTATTCGTATCTTTTTCAAGATTCATTAGATTCAAGCCTAATGTTAAAAGAGTGATACTGAATTAATAATAACACTACTGCAGGTCAACGGTAAGAAATACTGAAAAGTAATTACATTTTATGGCGTGAAATTACCTTACCTAATAAAAAGTAGGTAATTAAATATAATTATTTATTACCAGGTTTTATTACATTGATGTGTATTGTCCCTAACTTTGATATTTCATTCTTAGGTAAATAGTTTGTATAATTTTTTAAACTAAAAAGTATCCTAATTTTATTATGATTACTTGGATGTTGAGAATAATATGCATTTTTTTATTCTTTCAACTTCTGTGTAATACATGCAATATAAAATTTGTATTCTTATCTAAAAAGGCCTTAAAATAAATTTTATTGTTCATTAGAGTATGACCGCATCCGGCTCCCAGCTGAAATGGTAGTTCGAAATTCCTCAGAAAGAATCTCCTTCGTCCCATGTATGTATAAACGTTCTTCTTTGCACAATATGTAGCACCTTTTTATTGCAACATAGCACTACATTTGCAATTCTTTTTGTTGCAAATTTAACTTAATTCAAATAATTGTAAATTTTAATTAAAATATATTTTGTATTTACGCATGCATAGCGAATGAAAATACTCTGTGCAAGAAAAGTGAAATTCTTTTTAAGGAATTAAAAAAAAAGTATTTATACTTTTGCGTTAATTGCACATGCATTTGCGTTAATTGCACGCTTCAATTGTTAATGCAGAAAAAAATAAATGTAACATATCATCTCAGGGCAGTAACACCTACATGTGCAATTACATATATTGAGGAAAGACTGTTACATTGTAGAGATTTATATTCATTTCGAATAACCAGTTAAATTTACGTTTTCTTTCTTATACACCTTCATTTTTCTAACTTTCAATGCCAGAATATTTAAATTTGGTAGAGCGCGTGGAGAGATGCAAATTCTACCATGAGAAGAAAAAATTTAAATCCTAAGTTCTAGAAGGGAAGTTAGAGAGTGGGAGCAAGCGCTGTGCCTTTGTAGCGTAAACTTCTGGTTCTGCATTTATTGCTGGTTAAAGTGACGTAGCAGCTATTGCTTTGCTGCCACGAGACGCGGTTTTATGTAGGTAGGTAGTTAACGAAAGACGAGGACTCCTGGTGGCTACCAGAGATAAACAGGCATGTGTGCCTCGCCTTCCACTGTCGAGCGGCAAAAACTCCCTGGAGCCTCAAGAGTAAAAGGGAGTAAAAGAAGTTTACATGGCCAAACAGGGTTGAATTATTGACATTGCTTTACTGATTACAGTTGTGAGACTTGTGGGACGGATTTACAGATGAGGAGCTCAGAGCTAAGCACAAAATATATGAAAGCGGGAAAACATAGAGATGTACAGAAAAAACACAAAAAATACACAAAGATGCACTTACTTAACACTGAAAACTTAAGACACATAAAACACACTTAAAAACACATAAATACATATATATAACATATTAGGTACATATTTGGCCTCATTGACGATATATTAGGTGCATTGTGGTGTGTGTTTACAGAAAAGGGACCATGATATGGGATTAACATGTGATTGCTAGGCATTGATGTAGGGGACACGGAGAGGTCCTGGCGAATATATATTTGTGAAGCGCATAGGTGTGTGAACACGCATAGCGCGGTGACATGTTGGCAGCACAGGGACTTCTGAACATGTTGACTTCTGAACAGGATTATCTGATCCCTGGGAGGAATTCTACTGTTTTGTTAATATCTTTGAATTTTAAGTTTGTTGTTGTTACTAATCTCCATGTCTAGGAATATACTAGACGAGGTCGAGTCCATTCACCTTCAGAAAATCGAAAACAAGCTTAGGAGACTTGTGAAGGTAACTCAAGGATATATGCCGGTGATGCCGGTGCATTTTGACATTTAGAACAAATTGGGTGCATCTTGAGACCTATCTCAAAAGTAAGTCCTTTCAGGTGTCCACTGAAGTATCAGGAAAGTGTTGTGTGAACAAATCTATCGCAATCAATAGCAAGAGATCTTCCAGAACAATCAGCTTGATACCAGGGATGATTCGGGGGAACAAGCCATCTATCGCAATCAATAGCAAGAGATCTTCCAGAACAATCAGCTTGATACCAGGGATGATTCGGGGGAACGAGCCAAATTTGCCTGTCTGCATGTATTCTAATGGAATACAGTTCAAGATATGTCAATGAATTGGTAACTGGTAATGGTTCTTCAGAACCCTCCGTCGACAGAATGTCTGCCATTTCATTCCCCCATATGTCAACATGGGAAGGAATCCACTGAAGGTGCGCTTCATAGAGTGGCGAGACTTGCTTAAAAATCGTCACAGAGTGACGAGACTTGCTAAGAATTGCAATTCCGGCCCTATCACCAACTCTTCGCCAGTTTGAAAGATACTGAATGATATTCACCCATGAGTCATGAATTTTAAGTTTAATTCTTGTTAGCTGAATTACCGCCTAAGCGAGGCGTATTTGTTAGCGTCAAGTCGACGCATTGTGAATTTTAAAGAGTTTTAATAAAGGGTTCTCTTAACCCTTCTCTTGTCTGGTTCCTGCACGTACTTCAGCTGTCACACCAAAAGCTTTTAAGTAGATATTGTAACATGTGCCCGACTGCAAACATATAATATTTTGGCAGTCGGACAGATGAATGAAGCTTGGCATGAAATGATGACACAGAAGAAGTTAGCTGTTTTGATTCCACATCTTTATTCAATTCAAAAGGCAGGCCATTATTCTTTACTAAGATTAACTTTAAATTTACTACGTCATATTATTCGAACAAAGGGAGGCAGATGAGAAGAGCAGCAGCATTGGTCTTAACAGCAGAAGGAGAAAGCGGTCTCTCTCGCAAAATGACGCGAATTCTCTATTTATAGCAGAGGTTACGTAATAGGTTCGAATGTTCTCGAAAGTACTGGCCTAGGGGAAGATTCTGAAATTGCGGAAAGTTAAATTAGAGGTTGCTTGTTCACATAGAGCAAGGCCATCGTGTTTTTTATATTTTACATATAGAGAGAGAAAAGAGATGAATCTTACAGGTGAGTGTGCGGCAGCAATTATCATTCATTTTAATCTTCCACCGGTTTTTCTATTTAAGGATCGGCTTTCAAAAAAGGCTTTTTGAAGCTGTCTTTGAGCCGAGTTCGAGGGAAAAATTTTTTTTATTCCTAATTACATTTATTCTTTAATCTGTATGGACGTAGTTTCCATATGATAACACACCCATATCTAAAGACAGAGCGCGTAAATGATAGAAATATAAACTGAATACTCGAATAATTCTTTGAATGTTTAAATGCAGCAACTGGTTAATTATAATATTGCTTTTAAATGCTTAATCAGATATTTAAATGCTTACTATGGTAAATCCTTTCCTACACTAGCAAACCATACTTTGAATTTCATGAAAGATGGATATTTCTTAATTTTACTGAGGAATTCTTTCCCACCCTTCTTTTGCAATTTCTTCCCCCCTTTTTCTAAGTCCCACCTTCGGACGACTCGTAGCAAGTACTTTATCTAACATCCGAAAGTCCAATAAGCTCTGGTAGTTCGGCCCGAGGTTTGAGTCTCGGGAAACGGGATGGTTACATAGGCGTTTCAGTGCTTTTCCGCCATGTGTAAAGTGGATACGAGCCAGTTTCTCTTTAAAAGACCCTCCAATGGGCCATCCCTCCGTTTCCGTGTAGTGCCTAATGGCGCAGCACGTAGTAATAAATAAATAAAAAAGAAAGAAATCACATTAATCCATCGTTGTTACATCAGGATATTTTGGTGGAAATATACGAGGGACATGTATTTTATGCGAGTCTTCTTTTGATTTTTGTGAAAATTTAGTCCTAGATATTTACGCATGATTCGTTGTTCTATTCTGGTCCTTCATACTGAATGGATAAACACAGTAACGCTTTAATAATAGAGTTTATTTTGACAATTTTTTGCAAGCAGTATTTTAAATAACTTCGATCGTCTTACGGGTATTCACTTCCAAAATTTCTTTCCTTTCCAGAAATAAATTCATTTTAGACATTTTCCTTGAGCATTAAATTTCAATAAATTAATTATCGTTTCTTGATTTATTATCAACTTATAATTTAATCATATCACGAAAACGCAAAATATTTTCAGCTGTTCAGACAGAAAACCAATATTTATTTCAAGTACATAAGGGAAGATATTAAGAAGTGATTATTGTGTTTTTAATGTTATGATAGCATAAAATTATGATTTAAATATTCTGTGATATAATGATTCTCTGAAGAAAGAGTATAAGGTATTTCTCCCACTTTTCTAACGTGCCTTTCTTGGTGTAGTGGTTCTGCATGCTGGGCCAGTATTCCAGAGGTCCGTGGTTCGATTCCCGGCGAAAAGGCGGTTGCTAATTTTTCATCTCTTCGGCTTCCAAAATATCCTAATGTCTCTACAAGAGAGCATCAGAAATGTATCAAAAATTCAGCGAATAAGATGTAGCATTCCGTTGCTTAGACAAATGTCCAGTTTTTACTTCTATAATAATATATTGTAAAATATGATTTTGCCCTCCTTCCAGAATGCCTTCGAAGGGGTAACAGTAGCACACTCGGCGCGTATTCGAGAGGTTGGGGGTTCGAGTCCCGGAGAGGGACATGGCACAAAGGTAGCACATTAGGCACGTATTCAGGAGCTCCAGATTCGAGTTTCGGTGAGGGTATTGCTCATTTTTCACATCTCCTGCTTCAAAATACCTAATGACTTTACAACTGAAGCGCTTAGGAAGCTTCTATGCATGCGCCTGGTTTTTGCAATAACTCCATTAAAAACGAATAGCATAGATCATGGGTTCTCAACCGGTGGTACGCAAGAGAAAAATAGGTGGTACGCAAAGAAGCAAAGTTTTTTTAAGAATTAAATTCAAAAATTAAAACCCCAACATCATGATTGAGTTCTTTCTCTAACACTCGTAAATTTATGCGATCTGAAGCTTTTTTCAAGAGTGGTGGCGATGGTAGTACTTTGTAGTGGTGTTGCTAAAGGTTTTTAATTTTTGTTTAGATGGTACGCGTTAGTCAAAAGGTTGAGAACCGCTGGTATAGAGTCTAGCAAAAGCGTATTTTATAATTCAGAAATTAATGAAATAAATATGATTTAAAAATATAAATGATTCTTCATATCAGTTTTATGATATACAGTATTCGTTATTCGTTGATTAATGTACGCTTACCCGGAGTGCAAGAGAGAAATGTAGAAAGAATTTTAAGGAAGATTTTAGAAGAAACTATTAAAATTTGAAAGATTTTGCAGAGACAATAATGAAGATTATAAATACGAACAAAGACAGAATTGGAATTCGACATTGGAGACTCAGATTTTAGACTTATGTTTTTTTTTATATATATATATATATATATATATATATATATATATTTCCCTGGCCAGTCGAATTTTTTAATAATACGGCCGGCTT